AGGCAAGGGACAGACCCAAGGGTGCTCAGCCTGCAGCACAGAGCTGTGTCCCAGGCACTGAAACACTTCACCTCCATCTAGCAATACAGTGATCAGTCCTTGCTACAGTCTTTGCTCTGCATAATAATATTTGTGCAATTATTGGCTGCCTGAAATCCAGGATACTGCTCCCCTGGGAGCTGTGAGTTGTCGAGCATCTCAAAAATCTGGTCCTTCATGTGTACAAATGGATCCGTTAATTGCATCCTCATTAAAAGTCTGAGGTTGGAATGTTACAAAAACCTGTCTATCTGCACCATTTCCTTTCTCCTTTCAGCGAGGAAAATTTCCTCTCAGGATTTTTTTTTTTTTCCCAGTCAGTTTTGTGACTGCAGAGTGTCCTTATGGTCACTACTGTAGAATCTGGGCATCTTCCCATTACTGCCAGCAGAAAGCAGCTCTGTGAGTGAGGACATTTTGCTAGAGGAGTTGTCCTTCAGGCAGAATATTAAACTGCTCTGCCATCTGTTTTGCAGGGATTATTCTGGTGAATGCTAAAGATCCCTTGAAAGCATTTTGATAGTGTCCCCGTACTGCTCCTTATCCTCAGCATTCATATAACCTCTCCCTTCATCTGTTGACTTTGAGAGTTTCCCTTTCTGAGCACACAAAGGCAAAGAGAAGGGTTTGGATGTCAGCTCCTGGCCTTGGCTCTCTCCCCACTGCATAAATTCACGCACCCACAGCTGCCTTCAGCTCTGCCTTCCACAAAGTAACAACCTTGCTGTCTTTTCCAGAAACACCCTCATGCCTCAGGATTGAATTTATTCCATAAGAAATCGCCTCTCCATAGCTGCTCTACTCACTAATTTACTATGAGGTCTGGTGTCTGCTAGAGCTCAGCTCTCTAACAAGCCCTGGACTCTCTTCATTTAGTGCCAGGTACAAGAAACTCACCTTCTCAGCATCCCCTCCAAGCTCTGCTGCCTTCAGCCCACAGTTTATCCCCCAAGGGTGCCAGCCACCTCCCTTATATGCTCTTTCACAGGAGAAAACCCAGGTTTGGAGCTGCTCTTCTTAAAGGTCCCTTTTCTTAGAGTAGGTAGGGTTTCTATTAAGAGTATATCCAAGACTTTAGGTTACTATTTTAAGTTGCAGAGCTCAAATGACTGATTTCCTGGCTAAGTATGCAACACCTGAGCTGAGTGAAGAGCTAAGCAGTGCAAGAAAACTGTAGGGTGAATAGTGTGTGTTAAAGAGTTGCTGTTAAATAAATTAGAGTGTGCAAGATACAGGATGAAGTGAAGGATGCTTGCTAACACCCGGATAACTGAGGAGATACTGTGTGGTGTGGAGATAAGATTATGGTAAGTATAAAGCAGAATATAGAAGAAAAGCCATAGTGCAAAAATTACTTAGCAGGGAAGAAAAAGCAAGGTAATGTATTAAGAAATAAGTATTGTGCTATGGAGAATAACAAGTGTGGAAAGGAACTGTATTCCCAGGTACATTAGGTTTTTGTGTCTTAAAGCTCAGTTTAACAGCTGCTTCAGGGAGACCCAAAATGAGACTTTCCTACCTCTGCCCCTCCCTCCCCTGCAGACTATGCCTTACAGAGCCTTACATCTGTTATGTATTTAAACCTCACTTGCATGTCTCAGGAAGGTACCTGTCAGTTTAAAGGGGACCAAGGTTGTAACAGGCTGGATGTGATGTATATATTTGTCTTCAGCTCTCATGCATCACTGTGAAGGGTAATTATAGCAATCCAAGCCTGCAATCTTCATGAAAAGTCATGATTTCGCATCTAAATGCTAAACGGGACTGTTAACATGAGTAAGTGCAGCTCAGCTTGAGTGAAAGGGTGTTAAAGAATCAGGTCTAGAGTGAATCAGCCTGTTCATATGTGGCAACAAAAGGAAACGAGTAGTTTGAAGTATCAAAGTAAAGCATTCAAGAGTCCTAAGTTACAGCCTGCTTCTGGGCACTGCCTCTTCTCCTAGGGTGATCCCAGAAAATATCCATCCCACAAACTGAATGGGAATCCAGTATCTATTATTTACCATGAGCTTTTTCCAAATTACATTCTCCCCAACACAGGAGTCTGTCACTGGTCTATGAGACTCATCAGCTCATGCCATTATTTTCTATGCTGCCCAAGATGTAAGTGATCCCATATGGTAAATAACAAACTTTGTGTATCAGTGAAAGAGAGTTGATGCTTCAGTAGATCTTCTTCGGTCCTGTTATTGTGGGAGGCAAAGATCCCAGCTTCCAGCCTTGGCAGCTTTTTAACATAGAACAAAAAGATCTCCAGTGTTTTGTCTTCAAGAACAGTCTTTTACCTTTTGAAAAAGCAGGTGTAAGGCTTGGAGTAAGGTCTGCGGAGACCTGGAATCTGATCAGTTCTGTCATTGATCATTAGTGTTATTATTACTTCGTTTTCTAAGACAAGTTTTTAATCCACTTTTGTAGCAACCAGAAAGGGACAAATACAGTGAGGTCACTGCACTTCTTGCTCTGATATTTGAGGTTGCTTTGAAACATAACCTGCCAACACATGATATTTAAACACTTCCAAAGTAAGGACTAGTGTTCCTTAGCACGTATTGTTCTTTTTTCTTTAAAAAAAAAACAACCCAAAACGTCCCTTTCCCCTGCTTTTCAAAAGAAAAATATGTCTCTGTGGATCTACGTTTTCACTGCCTTGGAGAACATGATGTTCAGTCATGACACAAATCTTTGTGTAATCCAGAAAGTTACTACAAGACTGTGAGGTTCTGAGACTTGAAAGTGCTTTTGGATTTTTTAACCACTAGTGGTGAAACTCCAGCATTGAAACAAGAGCAGTAAAACCCACTTAAGTGCTTCTGATGGCTGTCAGATGTATTAACTCCTCTGCACATTACAGAATCACAGAATCACAGAATGTTAGGGATTGGAAGGGACCTTAAAAGATCATCTAGTCCAATCCCCCTGCCAAAGCAGGAACCTAAATGAAATTACACAGGAAGGCGTCCAGGCGGGGCTTGAATGTCTCCTCTTTACTGCTACCTGCACTGTAGTCTCCTGATCTTTCCAACCTGATCAGAATACCTTTGGGATTTTTATTTTTTATTTTTTTTTACTTTGTTGATTGCTCTTTTTCAGCCCTGGAAGAACATCCTGCTGCCTTTTTAACTTCATGTAAAATGTATTGTGTGATTCAGCACAAAGAAAGGGAAGAGGAAATGCATTGAATGCAGTGACAAATGGCAGAGGAGTCAGAGAAAAAGGAAGATGCTCTTGCAGGGCCTGCAGATGTGCTGTAATTATATTCCATAAATATATAGGTAGCTAAACAGCAATGCAGGGGAAGCTTTTATGAAGTTTCTTGGAGCAGCTCCCATGAACAGCATAGGCAAGGAATGGCCATGACTCCTTGTAGAGGAGAAGTCAAGCTTCTGCTCTTTCCTTGTCCTGAATGTTTGGGCAGCCAAAAATCACAGCATTTATAGAAGGAGTGATGCCCTTCTGAGCATTTTGTGAGAGGGCTTCTACTGAGTTTCTCCCCTGAAGTCATTTTAGCTGCACGTTGTTTAAACCCATACTGTCTGCCAAATAAGATCCCGAAGTGCAGAGGTAGCGCTGTTACTTACAGCGTGTGCATTTGTGCGCACTTCTAGAGGTCAAGTGACTGTGTAGGTAACAACACCCCCATATGTACAGACATGTACCTGCCCATGTCATTTCATAGCTCATTTACACTTGATTTAGGCAAGTAGCTCAAAGTTAAAGAGAAGTCCACATTTTGTGCATGTGTACGCTGTGTTGGCTCCTCTAGCGTGACTCTGCTCAGTTTCCTCCATGAGTCTCCTCTCAAACTCCTTGTCTACAGCTGTGTGCAGCAACAAATGCAGGAGAACACTGGAGAGCCAGCTGGCTGAAAACTGCTTGCAAAATAATGGAAATCAGGTGTCCAAAATGAGAATGTGTTCAGATGTGATTTGGCTTCCCTTGTTTTTCCCTGCAGAGAGCAGTGATTCCATATTAGCTTTGTTTTTTACTCTCTGTGAAAATCATCCTCCGTCGATGGTTGGATATGGGAAGAACAGAGCTTGGTGTGACTTTTGGTGACATTATCTTGGCAGGCACTGCATGCTAGTTGTACATCTGTCATACAGACGAGGAGAAACCAGGGGGGTAGAAAAAAAAGAAGCTTTTCAATAAAATTAAGTTTGGGATCCGGATGAAAAAGAAAACCAAGCTCATATTTTGTGTCATTGTGATGTTATCCAGTTGTAGGTACGAGGGATGAGTGTGCTCTGTGTAGATGGAGAGAAACATATTTAGCAACCTGAGAGCTCTGTTCCAGCAACCCAGCTCAGTACTGTTCTGCTCTCCGTAGAAACCAGCACCACATGTGGGAGGCAGGATTTCTGGGAATGACAGAAATTGAGACCACACATGACTTTACATTCTACTTTAGGTTCCCACTAAACTTGGTAATTTCTAATGCTCTTTTTTGTTCTGAGGCTTTGGGTTTTGATGATGCAAAAACATTCCTCACTCTGTTGTCATTTTTTTGCAATGGGAAAAGTGTGGGTTAAAAATGTTGGACATTTAAACTCAATGCATGTGTGCTTGCAAGCCTACTGCTGTCTCATTGCTATTGTTTCCTCTTTCTCAGGACATGACCTTCACCACCACAATGAATCAGGAAAAACCTGTCAAATCCTCCTAGCTCCCCGGCTGTGCAATTTGCTGTTCCCCAGACAGCAGCTCTTCTCACCCAAAGCACAGAAGAAGCCAAGTCACAAATGACAGCTGAAGAGTGAAGCATTATCAAAAGCACTCTGTCAGAGAGAAACTTTTTATATAGGAAATCTTCTTTTGAACCTGGGAAGCCGTGTATCCCATCAGGTCCAAAGAACAGAGAGTAGATATGTTCAAGTAATCAATAACAGAAATTGCACTAATTGATACATATATTAGAGTATCTACACATAGTGATCTGCAGCATTTAGAAATCTCCATTCAGAATGGATGATGGATATAGAAACACAAACCTCTATCAAGGGGGCAGGGAGACAAACCAAGTCTCAGATGACTACAGGTACCAGGATGGCAACTACGAAGGGTATGCACCCAATGATGGCTACTATCGTGGCGGGGATGAGACTGCTCAGGAGGAAGATGCCCAGAGTGACGTTACAGAAGGCCATGATGAAGATGATGAGGTCTATGAGGGGGAATACCAAGGGATCCCTCACCCAGATGACATTAAAGAAAAGCAGAAGCGAGCTCCTGCCATGGATGATGAATACAGAGACCGTGCTGACCTTATGGCAGAGAGGATGGAAGATGAGGAGCAACTTGCCCATCAATATGAGAATATCATAGAGGAGTGTGGCCATGGACGCTTCCAGTGGACTCTCTTCTTTGTTTTAGGGTTGGCACTGATGGCAGATGGGGTGGAAGTGTTTGTGGTTGGATTTGTTCTTCCCAGTGCTGAGAAGGATATGTGCTTAACCAGTTCGAACAAAGGGATGCTAGGTAAGTGCCACTTGTGAACATCTCTTCTAATGCAGTAGACAGTAGCTAGAACATATTTTTCTGGTGACCATCTGATTTCAGGATTTTCTGATGACTCTTCTCTTGTGTTGTATGTCATGCATAGTCATGGATGGGTGGATCTGGTTCAAGAGAGGTTTGCATGATGCTGAGAAGGCAGCTATTCACAAGCAGCAGAATTGCACCACATCTATGCCCACTTTATAAGTGTGCTGCGGTCCCAATACTGGCCAGTGCAGGCTGGATCTGAACAAGTCAGCTTGCAGCCAGCAGGTCCACAGGGCAAAACTCATGGGGTGTTCAGGGACAAATAAATGACAGGTTAAAAGTGGCTTTTCCTATTTGAAGACCTAGTAACTCAGATTTCAGTTCTTTTACAAACTAAATTGTAATGAGAAGTTCAGAAAGAAGTACCATCCAAGTAGGATAGATAGAAAAGGTCTGTTTGCTCTGGATCACTTTGCTGTTATGTTGTGGCTGCTGATTCTGCCCCATTCTCCAAATTTTCCACTTTGCCCAGGTTCCCCTTTTCTTCAGCCCAAAGTGCCAACCGACAGATCAGCTGTGAGGTTGGTTCTTCCTGAACACCAACTTCTCAGTCAGAGCAGCTTGTTAATACATTCTGGGTCAGAAGTAGCAGATGGAGGTTTCTTCTTAGGTCTGTGGAATGCGATTGATGTGCTGTGTGGGGATTAAAGGCTGAGGTTACTGGCAACATCCCTTTTGCATCACTATTGACACCTCCCTTTGGTCAAAATACAAAAGCTTAGTTATTATGGGTGAGACTGGGTGGAAAGGTTTGGATGAACAATTTTTTCTCTTGCACATTATAAGCCAAAAATGGCAAAATCTCCCAGATCTCCAAGAACCAGGAAAGCATCCAGCATGGCCTGTGGTGAGAGCCAGCTGTGCAACAGTACTGAGCATCTGGAAAGAAAAAGTAGTTCTTGGAAGAACTGCTTTAGGAGATGGATAGTGTGTATCACCTGGGCCTGTAGTTCATACATTCTGTCCCAGAAGCCCTGCCTGATGCAAGGTAAATACAAATTTTGGTTTAGATCCCACCCCCTGGCTCCATTTCATTTGCATTATTTTCATGTGACAAAAGTGACAGATAATTATTCTTACACAGACATCTTGTCTTGGTGTACTCTGGTCCTAGATATTTTTCTCTCCTGTTTCTTCTCTGAACTCGAGAATCTGGGTGTTTATTTCCATAGTTAGGCAGTTGGGACTTAGTTTTTTGCCTTAAAGATTTTCCTATTTTCTTTTTCGCTTCACAAACCACTAAAATTTCTAGCTGGAATTATCTCAAGCCAGGTGAATCAGTCACAATTGGATCCTGATTTCAATGAGACTTCCAAATGCACCAGCTCCCCATGGGACACCTGGTTAGGCTAGTGATGAGACCTTTTATGAAAATCAGGTCATTTATTTTGGTGACTATATAAAACCTGAGATTTTCTAAAACTTTGACCCCATAAATATCTATCTCTATAGAGCTCAAGCTCTGGCAGGTACTCAAGTTAGAAAACATCAAATGTCACAAGAAAATCTACCTTTGAAGTCTTCCTGGCCCAACCACATGTAAAAATGAACAAGAAATCTCCCCAGAGAACTTGTTCTGCTTTTTCCAGCTCAGTATTTGCAAGGCTGAAAGTTCAGGGTGTTCTGATAAGCTCTGAATAAGCAAGGAGACATTTGGGTCTGTATCCAATCCCAGATCCAGTCTCCCATGCAATAACCAAGCTAGTCTGGAATTGCCAATTAAGGGAAAAGGACTCTTTTCACTGCCTTTTCTGACCATTTTTAAAGACAACTTTTGAGAACTTGTTTTTGCAGAACAATTTCCTCTGTCCTTAGCTTGTTTAGGGTATCTGCTCTCAAATCTTTTATACACACTATGAAAAGTTGATTTATCTTAGTTTGAGGCAGAGAGGAAAGTGGATATTTTTAGTAACACTCAGTTGTTATTGATTGTCATTGAACATGAGGCAGGTGTCTGATTCAGTCCATCTTATTTGTTAAACACACTTTTTATGCTCTTGGATATTTTTCTGCTGCAGGTTTTCTCTTGGATCTGGGGTGTGTGAGATGATCCTTTGTGAAAATGAATTAAGCATGGCTTAGAAAGCCCTAGCTTGCAGAGCAGTGTGCTGAAACAAGGAATGAACACCCAAGGGCATCAAGAAGTGAGGGTGGGAGGAGGATGGAGAGGGTATGGGGCTGCTGGAGGGTGTAAGAGAGGAAGAGCACAGATCTCTGGGTCTGGAGAGGAGGATGAGAGCTTTCTGCCAAACTACAGCAGCAGGGAGCAGAAAGCATAGGAGGGTTGGCAAGTTTCAGGGCAGGGACATAAGGTTTGGGAGCAGACCTGCCTCCAGCACAACCTGGTGTCCCAAGCACTGCCCCTGCAAGAGGGATTCATCCCTTTTCTGAGCAGGTGTGGGTACATGGCATGATAAGGACAGATAGATAACAGTTCCTGAAGGGAAAGGCTGGAGAAGTGCTATTGATGGAGACATGAAAGGCTGAGAGAGTTGGGGTTGTTCAGCCTGCAGAAGAGAAGACTCTGGGGAGACCTTATTGCACCTTTTAGTACTTAAAAGGGACCTATAAGAAAGATGGGGACAAACTTCTTAAAAAGCAGAGCCTGTAGCGATAGGACAAGGGGAAATGGTTTTAAACTAAAAGAGGGGAGATTTAGACTAGATGTAAGGAAGAAATTTTTTACACTGAGGGTGGGGAAACACTGGAACATGGTGCCCACAGAGATGGTAGAAGCCCCATCCCTGGAAACAGTCAAGGTCAGGTTGGATGTGGCTCTGAACAGCTTGATCTGATTGAAGATGTCCCTGCTCACTGCAGAGGGGCTGGACTAGATGACCTTTAAAGGTCCCTTCCAACCCAAACCATTCTATGATTCTGTGATTCTAAGAACATAATCTTCCTCAAAACATTTCCTGGATTAGTTTCAGCACCCATCCACCTGTAACTAGAAAAATCAGATTTCCCAACAAAGGTCAGAGCCTCCAACATATGCTCATTTCCCTCAGTTTTTCTATTCCCTTGATGATAGACCATCATGGGTTATGCTATTGCAAACTGATCTTGCTAATACTCAGGGTTCAATGATACTTATAGGATGACTTGGTGGCAATCAAAGAGCTCTTCACCTCAATTTCTGCCTAATGTGCAGTGACAATCTTGTAAGAGTGTTTCTGCACAGACTGACCATTAGAGAAGGCACAGCTTTCCCTCAAACTATCAAGAGTTTTTAAGGAAGCAGGATTATTATCCACACATGAGTTACTGCCCCTTACCTTATCCTCATGTACCAATAGATGTCTACAGACAAGCTCCTGTTTATTCCCAAGCGACCATTCATCTCCACACATTTTTTTTAAGGAAACATAATCAGGTTATCCCAGGTGGAGTTAAGGTTGCTTCCAGGCAGCGGCTAACATTTAAACACACGAGGTCTCAACCATAACAAGAGAGGCCAGGAGGGAAAAAAATAGGAAATGAGTCATGTAAGTAATAAAAACCTTGCAGAAATAGGAAAGGACAAATAAGAGAGCTAAAGTAGATGCCCTCTAAAGACCAATTTTGTGAAGTTCAGCTTTTGCTCAAAGGAAATTTTGCATTAAATACTCTCTATATTGCGTATTTTTCCTCCCTCAGAAAGCAAGCGTGGAAAAATATCAAGCAAATTATGGCCAAATTATGCAAAAATTACAAATAAACAGATGCCCACAGTGTTTCATGAAATGTGTGAAATGAATATGACACATCTTAGAAAACGTTTACATTTTGTTCTGAAAATAAACATCTCACCATCCGATGCAAATTAACAGCTATTTTAGCTCTAAATATCCCTAGTGGGACAAACCACATATTTAGAGTTTTTGTGTTATGTGAAGTGCTATTTTGAAGATGATTGCAAGGGTATTAGAAAAAACAAAATACACACCAAAAAAATCAACAACTGTGTATATTTTACAAGTTTGATTTCATCAATTTTTAACATTAATTGTTAAGAATGAGCTTAGTAACTTGCAACAACGTTATTTTTACATATCCATTTGATAAATCTGTTTTGCTGAGCTTTCACCAGCAATCATAATAATAATAATAATAATAAATTTCTTAATTTTACTGAAACTGAATATTCCTTTTCAGTATAATACATCCTGCCAGAAAAAGATTTTTTTTTTTATTATTTGCTAAGGGTAATCATATGAAGAGTCCTAAAATGCTATCTACTTATTTGCTGAAAGGCACTCAGTGTCATTATTTGGAGAAATGTCATATAAATTTATATCTTCAAGTGCTTTTAGTCACCTCTCAGAGGACTAAATATTACATTTGCAAGCGTAGAGCAGTAAATACACAGCAAGTATAAAAGATGGTGTCATAGAAATGTTTTAAAGTTTTTCACACCCTGCATATAAAAAACTCAAGGCACAGTTAAAGCATCAGACTTCCCAAATCCCCGGAGCTCTAGTTGTGTTATCATCATTCCACAGTTCAGTAAACTGAGACAAGAACATTTTTAAGGGCTTTGCCCATGACTGCAAACACCAATGCTGAGAATAAAATCAGTCTTTCGGGCACACAGCCTCCTTTTTCTTTTTATGATTTAATAATAATTATATTTTAGGGAGGATATAATCTTATAGATTCTTAGTCTAGCACTGTTAGATAAAAAAAAAAATAGAAAAAAAGGTCCTATTAGTAATTGTGCAGTTATGTAGCAATTCAGTCGCGTCTGTGTGAGTCAGGTTGAATAGGACGTGTAACAATATCCCTGCTTTTAGTTATGTTTTATTATCAGCTGAGATAAAATCTGGCCTCAGCTTCTCATTGACCTGAATTCACCTGATATGACAGTAAATCCTAATCCCCTCGGCAGAGCTCAGTGGCTTTTCTCCCCTTCTATTTTTTTTTCCCTCTGGATAAGCACAGATGAGCCCAGCCATGGTTCCCTTGCCCTGCTGTAGTTCATGGCTGCCTGTTTTGCACCCTTGTGGCCGTGGACCCCCCAACACAGCAGCCAGTTAAACCCTGATGAGACCTGCTTGCGTCCATGTCTTGAGCATCACGCATGAGTTCCCGGCTGCAAATTTGCTCTTGGGCAGAAACATTCCCACAGCCCAAGGAGCATCATCACTACAAGCAGTAGGGACATGTTAGGGGAAAAAAGGTGTTTTTGTGATTTGGGAACACCCCACGCCTTGTGCAGGTCCAACATGGGGATGGCTGTGTCCCCGTTTATAAACACTGCAGGAATTTCATCTGACGAGAGCCAACACGAACAGGTTTTCGTTTAACAGCAAAGGATTTGTTTGGCTTCCTCTGTTGAAAACTTTGCTTTAGCAGAGGGGTTGGGTGGGGGGAACCAGATGGTCCCATGAATATTGTAGTGATGGACAAGTCTCGTGGGGGGACTGTGAAGCCGGCTGAGTGTAAACAGCCACCCACGCCGTGCTGGCAGCGCTCGCTGAAGTGTTCGGTGTGCGTTACCTCGCCCATCCTGCGTCAAAGCGCTTGTGGATTCACGCACCCACCTTTGGCTTTAACGTGCAGAATCCCCTCGATTTCAGCAGCCAGATTCACGCAATATCCACCTCCAGATCTCCAGAAATGGAAAGTTGCATTTCACATGGGCAATCCATTTCCCAGTGGCAGAGCCATTGTCTGTAGATAAAGTCTCTCTGCTTGTACTTAATCAACAAGGCAAGCGCAACGAGAATACCCTTTCATTTGAATTCCATTTAGAGGGTCAAGGAGGTTCATGGAGAAAGCACTAATAAGCCTACAAGGACAATTAGATTAGAAATTTCAGGAACAAAGGGAAAAAAGGCCACCCAGCCCTCAGTTCATCCTCTACTGAGACCGTCCCCTGTTCAGGGACACACCAGCCATTGCTGTAGCACAAGACAGTCAGGACCACCACTGGTTTGTTCCTCTCTTTAAATTACTTAATGCACAATCAAATCCTTTGCCTTGCCTCATCCATCTCCCAAATTGTCCAGTGCTGACTCAAAATTTTGTTTGTGTCCATAAATTGCATTCTTATATAACAGATACTACACTGGTAAGTGTTTGGATTTTGTTTTTATTACAATTTGAACTTCAATATGAGGTCCTATTCCCTTTGGGTTGTCCAGATGCTTTCCCCTTTCAAAAGTCTTCTGTATTACTGTACTGGTAGTGGCCTGAGCTTTGCAGGCAGGTAGGAGTTTCCATGTTCCTGCTGTTACTGGCTCCATGCAGACCTGTTAGCAGAGGTGAGACAACCCTTCACCTGGAGCCAGACAGCCTCCTTTCCTTCCCAACAGCCCCAAGGATTCTAGGACTAGTTCTTCCCATTGAGTTGTTTTTTCTCTACTCAGATTTTCCATTTATCCCATGATCCCTTTTCCCAGCTTGAAAGAGATTCTTTTCAGATGCACCCCATTTCTAAGAACTTTAATCCCATTAACTGTCAATGAAAGAAATTCATGCTTGTGATGGAGATTTAGGTAAACCTTGACTTTTTTGTTTTTTCCCGAAACACTTACTTTTAATTATATTGAAACAGTAAAAAGACAGTTTAGCACACATGTAGCCATGTACTGTCTCTGCCTGATTTTATTTCTAGAACTTCAATTTTTAGGTCCACAAATTCTGTCTAACATGGAGCACACAACTTTAATAAAGGCCAATAAATTTCTTAGTGTGAAAATGCTGTATATCTTACCTCTTTTCTAGTGGGAATAAGTCCAGTCAGTCGTCACATATTTTCCTTATAAATTCAGCATTGGATGAGTCATAACCTGAAATTTATTCTTAGAATTTCTGTTCTTTGGTTTCCACCAATTTTACGGGAAGCTATTGCAGACTTTCCCACCTGCATTCATTATACTCCATTACTCTTGGAGTAGTCGGCAAATAATGGCTTATTCAGAGTTGCCCTTAAGACCTAACCACTGCCTGTGTTCATTCGGAAGCTGAGCCCTCCTAGCACAGTCTAAATCTGTGTAGTTTGAAGCTGAAGCTTGAAGTCAGCTAACCAGTACAAACTGTCATAGTGTTGTTCCCTAGAATATTTGGTGGACAGAAATAACATAGCAGAAGAAATACCATTTAGTGATCACTTTTCCTGGTCTAGTGCTCCTTAAAATTTGAGTTTCCTTGATATGATCTGGACCTCTTTCAGAGGTAAGACCTATCACTGTGTTCTCCAGAAGACACTCTCTCCTGCATGGAGACTGTATGAGTAACTACTCCACTCCTCCCTGGGTCCTTGCCACCTTATTATTAGTCCAGGACACAGCAATCTGCAAAGCCTGACATTGTTCTGCACTTTGGGTCCCAAGATCCATCAGCTGACAGAGTGTTTTATAGCAGCTGCCCCAAAAGTTTTAGTGATCTTGGCCAGAACATGCAGTCTTCCCAAAAGAGACCTCTCCATCACAATAAAGTGTCTTACTGATTTTGTTTCAGCCCTGAAGTAAACATTTCTATAAGTAGAATCCTTCCCCTCAAAAACCAGCCAAACAGTCTCTAGTCATCCCTGAGGTTTCCTTTACTACAGGTTTTTATTGTTTTAAATTTCTGATGGCCAATACATCTATCAGTTTATCTCATACAATAACCAAATAAAGCCTCATCCTCTAAGTGAGTTTGTGACAGTAACAGCTCTGCTGTGCTTTATGTTGCTCACTGTTTGATGGATGCTGTGTTCCAGAGAGATAATCTTCCCTTCCATCACAAGTTTGGGCTCCTCAGTTAGAATCTGCAGGGGTTTTCCCAGAAAAGCAGCTCCACTCCACTCCTTGATGCGCAGTTTCAAACTTTCGAGGTCCCTTCCAATCCCTAACATCCTGAGATTCTGTAAGCCCACTCTTCCCCTGGCCAGAGACCTGGCTGCCCTGCCACCAGCCAGGTACTTGGCTGCAATGAATCACCAGCTAGAAGACAGCAACAACCTCCTCTACCTCCTCCTGACCTGGGATGTTTTCTGTTATTAAGAGGATTTGGATGAACATCTGCCATCCTGGGATTGTCTCTGGAAAAAAAAAAACAAAACAAAAAACCAAACAAAAACTATCTCTGGCAGATCATTTTTTGTTCCTCACTGGGGTCTGGCAGCGTGGGCTGAGCTGGGAGTCACTTGTCCGGTGCTGGCAGGGCTCACTGTCAGATGGGTGGCTGTGATGCACCACTGAGTAGGTATATGACACATCATCACTTCCGACTGCTGGCTGTGATCAGAGCTGCTCCATTAAATGGAGCTCAGGAGCCAGGGTAAAAACACTTACAGCACTGCATGTAGATTCTTCCTTCAGAAAGATTTTTGGACTGAAACAGTTTTTTGCCTCAGCTTTCCCTTGGAATTTGCACTTCAGGAAACAACCGGGAGGCCAAAGTTAACAGAGAAAGAGATCCCAGATTCTCAGATATGTGTGCATCTTCTCTGACTGCTGCAGGTCAGTCAGAAACCTATCTGAAACCTTTACACACCCTCAGATAGGTAACCTGCAAAGAGGTTACTGGGGAAGCCATGCTTTACCAGTCTCTGCTCTCACAGCTTTATGAGTATAAACAGCAGCCAGAGAGAACCTCCTCCCTACACATCCTCAGTCCCATTGCGCTCAGGGGGGTTAGAGGACTTAAGATATCAGACTTCTGTTGTATCGTTGGTGGCACATAGCTGGGACACGTGGATCCTAAGCTGCTTATGTCTGGCCATTGCTTACGTGCAGGGGATATGTGAGCAAAGAGGCTGGGAAAGAAAGATGCGGGTCTGGTCAGATGAGGGTATGTCTACATTGCATGACGCAGTGCCGTAAAGAGCAATGCAAGCTCGTGGGAAATGATTAGGAAATTAGGTTTCACCAATGGATAGAGATCCCAGCACCTCAGATAGCTAATCTGGGGGGAATTGGGGTATCTCTATTGTGTAGGATACTGGGTGGACATCAGCTACCATATGGGCAATTTAAAACCTGCTTCTACATTGGATACTATTTCTATCCGCTTACCAAATTCACCATCTCTGTCTTTCTTCCAGGCTTGATAGTCTACTTAGGAATGATGGTGGGGGCTGTCATGCTTGGTGGCCTCGCTGATAAACTGGGAAGAAAGAAATGCCTCATCATATCACTTACAATCAATGCTGCCTTCGCGTTCCTCTCCTCCTTCGTCCAGGGATATGGATTCTTCCTCTTCTGCCGCCTTATCTCAGGCCTCGGGTGGGTAACTGGTGAATGCATCCCATGTCCTGGAGGAATCTCATCACAGCTCAGCAGTTTGGGTGTGCAGGGTGGGAGAAGGAAGGCTGCTCCAGAGATGCATCTCTGGTACTGAGCCAGGATGGCTCTGCTGTTTAGCACATGTGGTTGTGCTACCTCGCTCTTGACCTTGAAACTGTTAGCAGTAAGAAAGTTAAGTCATTGACATTCTTCTGGTACTGCCCAAATTGTGCAGAAAGGTGAGTGAGATGCCTAAATGCCCACATCAGTTTACAATCCTGACTGCCACGGCCTCCAATGAGATCCTCAGCCATTCCCATCACCTGCCTGTATTTTGCTTCCCTAAAATGAGTGATCACAAAATAACAACAGAGAAGACGTCTAGGTGAAGAGCAGGGCATTGCACTGGCTTTGTATAGACTGCACAGGAAATTCAGATTTCAGAGCATGAGAAGGATCTTGTTGATCTTTGATGTCTAAGACCAGTCCAGCCAAAGAGAGACTTCCATTTTTTCCTACAAGTCTCATTTTTGTGCAGTGAGTCTGTGAGTGTGACCTTCCCTCTTTATATATGCAAACCTAACTGCAAAGACTTTGAAGAAGACTCTTATTCTTCCCATGTGCTCTTTTTTTCTCCTCAGTATTGGGGGATCCCTCCCCATCGTGTTTGCCTATTTCTCTGAATTCCTATCTCGTGAGAAGAGAGGGGAACACCTGAGCTGGCTTTGCATGTTCTGGATGATCGGTGGCATTTTTGCTTCAGCAATGGCTTGGAGCATCATCCCACATTACGGTAACTGTTTTGTGCCATTGACTTCGACAACACCACATTCCTCCATAACTACACTACCCCAAAAGCCCGTGCAGTAGTTAGTCAGTCCTTACACATCCCAGCAAAAACACCACTGAAAATGATAGGTACCTGAAGCGCACACAGAAAGTGTGAGAAATTGACTGCATGATTGATTGACTGATACTAAGACTGTAAACAGGACTGGTGAGGGCTGATTTGCATGAAAAGCTTCAAATACACCCCTTGAATTATATTGCCAGAGCCTGAGCTCTTAATCTAAATGTCAATCCATTCAGGGAAAACTGGACTGAGACTATATTGCAAAAATTGATCCTGTTATCAGAAATAAATAACTTTACTCAGGGAATTACTGGGTGCTGTGAATGGCAGCAGTGAGGACAGCACATGCTCTTTTCCTTAGCCAAGTGCCAACACTCTCAAAACTGTGTGTCTGGTGACAAGTCTACCCAGCATGCGATGGGCTGGAGTCACATCTGACTTCACCTAATTGGGTTCAGAGCTGGAAGTGGGAGAAAAAGTAGATGACGAGTGGACTCTGAAAAATATTTGTACTCTGAGGAGTAAAAATCTGCATGTCACATGGCATTTCTCCTCTCTCGTGTGTGTATCTTAGGAAAACATAAGAAGCAAATATCTACTTATTTCCCTCAGTATTCAATGATACCAGCTGTTTGCAAAATCCTGTTTGAGGAAAGTAGGACAGGCCACAAAGACCACGAAGAAAAACACTAACATTTACCTATCTATCAATTCATTTTTATCGTATTTAAAGTACATTCAGTATAAACTCAGCTCATTATTTTGATTGATAAGACAGAGACTGTTGGAATAAATAGTCAAAATTACTGTCTAGTGGTATCAGGTTGAGATAATTATTTGCAACTACATTTGCTTTAAAAAGACCTTATAACTTTACATTCTATTTATTTTTCAGATGACTTTTTGATCTTGTGTTTTTATAGTTGCTCTTTTTGATTTCCTATGTTCCCCTACTATTCTGGAACTTCATGAAATAATTAGAAAGCTATGGCTGACTCAGATGAGACCTCTGCAAAAACTGTTGCTTGATGATTTCTTTAATATGTGGATAAAAATGTTTATAGAAAAAAATGGAATTAAATATTCCTTCTGAGATTTGAGCAATGTAAGAATGATGCTGTACATTCTAGTCCTTAGCAGGGGAATAATTGACCTGGTCAGACATCAGGAAAAAAGCAGAAGGGAAATCTTAAATGCAGAATTAGGATCTTGATTATTCTGAGTTTGAATCCCAGCTCAAGTTTTATAGGTCTGGGAAAAAAAAAAAAAAAACAACAAAACAAAACCAAACTTACTTTCCTAGCTCACTTCCATAAAATGTGAAATACGTGTGATATATGAGATGGAAAGAAATTGTCTCTAATGTGCCTCTCAGATCAGAGAAGATTTAACCTTTGTAAACTTTTATGTAACATCACCGAGCAGGAATAAATTATGGCCAGGATTCGTCTACCTTTTCCCAACCTTACTTGCCTACAGCTGCATGAAGCTATTCTTATCACTAGATTATTTCTAAAATCAAAGATAAAAGAAGGTTTTTAAAAGGCAGAGTATGTTCCAGTTTCTGCAGTGAACATGAACTCACTTGCTGTTATCTACTGTGTATGCAATTGAGCCTATAAGGGCCATCCTTACTAAGAATAGCAAACCTTCAACCTGTCCCCATGTCACACAGAGCTGTAAAGTTCAGAGCTGCTTTAAGAGAGGAAAAATCAGAATGCTTGGTCAGTATTTTTACTTTTTGGTTCTTGCTGTTTCCAGGCTGGGGGTTCAGTATGGGAACCAAGTACCACTTCCACAGCTGGAGAGTCTTTGTACTTGTCTGCTCTCTGCCCTGTATCGCCTCCCTGGTGGCACTGAAATTCATGCCTGAAAGCCCACGGTTTTTGCTGGAGGTAAGCTGATTCATCTGAACATTTCAGTCCGACATTAGCAGAGGATAGCTGGTCCCTAATGTGTCACCATCTGTCTTTCTTTGTCCCATCAAACACACACAGCACAAGATCAGAAGCAAAACCCCTCCTACGTGTCTACACTAGCTCCACAGATTGCTTAAACCCCAAAGACTGCAGGGTCAATCCATGTTGGTTAGTTTTTTCACTGCCAAACATGGTACAGAAAGAAGGTGGTGAGTACTGGGAATTTTATAAGTCCAACAAAAGCACTTTGAAAACATTTCACAGAGTTTGGGCATGTAACTACTGAATCCTGGTGGGAAAGCAAAGGACAGAGTTCATTTTACTGAGTAAAATACATAAACCTCAGAGCTCTTAAACAAGTATTCTCTATTCCCATTTCACAGATGTGAAATGTGGAAATACTTAGCTCAAGTTAACCCTGCAAGTCTTTAGCAGAGGTGAGATTAGAGCCCAGGTGTCCTCACCCATCTCCTCTTCTTTCATCTGGTTTTAAAGCTCTGCTCCTGACTCCTCTCCTGCCTCAGATGGTTTTAGGGTAACTCCTTTCTTCAGCACAGAGATACTGCACCCTGTGATCACAAATCATGCTTTCAGCTCTTTGCATTTAATGCAACTAGTCCTGCATGTGTTCTTCTCCACTATACTGGGCATCTAGAATTGGTTTCTCTCTATGCTTTGTTAAATTACAGAGCTGGGAACTCCAACATTTGTTTCCCTTTCTTTGGTATTTTCAGATAGGTAAACATGATGAAGCCTGGATGATTCTCAAGCAAGTCCATGACACCAACATGCGGGCCAAGGGTGAACCAGAGAGGGTGTTTACGGTGAGTTTAACTAAGACATCAGTGTGTAAAAAGAAAGGTTGGACCTACCCACCTTAGTACAGCACAGCACCAATTTATTCCTCCTTAAGACTGTTTCAATGTGACCTCCTACAGAAAGCAGAAAAAGGACCCCTAGATATGTTTTGTGCATTGAAAGTTAGCTGCCAGTCTGTTTTTTTTCAAGAATTAATCAATCCTGTGAATTGCAGTAAGTGCTCCTCATTCCTGGTGTTACTCTACAGCATATAGACCAGTGATTTTTCCACTTAATTACACACACGCTTAATTGGTCTGCTGTAAGAGACTAAAACCAAATAAGAGATATATTAGTCATGTGGGAGATCTGAGTCACTCCTTTCTCCATTCTGGCTTCTAATCAAACTCTGATTAAACTTCATGTACCTTCTAATGAGCTTCCCAAACTCTACCTGCCTCATACCCAATCTGTAATCTCTCCAAGGGAAAGTGGGATGAGTGGCTATTACTCATTAGTCTGCTGCTTGTTGTGAAAAAGATTACACCAGTGAACTTCATTAATAGTAAAATCAGGTAATAGGTGTATGCTGGGGTTAGCTGCAAATTACTATAATTCAGTTGTAAACTCCCAGTGAGCCAGCCAGGGAACAGATCTTGATTTCTGCTTTTAATGATGAGAGGACACGTGCTCTTAAAGGATGGGGAAAAGGAGGTATGGTTGCATGTAAAACATGTCTTCTTGAACAGAGAGGAGTGTAAGGCTCCATGTTCAGAAGAGTCATGACAAAACAGGGCCCCTCAGGAATGAACGTTCAAGAAAATTAAAGACTAAGATCTGTGCATAATAATTGTGTGCTGGTTCAGGTAGGAACTTAATGAGCATGTGTTATTTTTAGGCTGTGAACCATTTGGCTAACTACTGTAACAGTGAGTTGGGCTGGCCAGTCCTGATGTGTGGTGGGGGAAAAAGAGGCTGAAGACTCAAATATATATCCAAATCTATCTATCTATCTATATACAGATAACTGGAAGAGGTTATATTTAAACGGGAAGAGGGTAGGTTTAGATTAGATATGAAGAAGAAATTCTTTACTGTGAGGGTGGTGAGACATTGGAACAGGTTGCCCAAGGAAGTTGTGGATGCTCCCTCCCTGGAAGTGTTTAAGGCCAGGCTGGATGAGGCTTTGAGCAACCTGGTCTAGTGGAAGATGTCCCCGCTCATGGCAGGGGGGTAGGAACTGGATGATCTTTAAGGTCCCTTTCAACCCAAACCATTCTATGATTCTATGATATATATATCTCCTTAAGTAGGGCACTATGAGAGTCTGAGCTGAGTAGGAGAATGAAGGAGCAGCTGTACAGCACCCATTAGTGCTCATTACTCCATCCAACAGTGTCACGACTGCTACGGCACAAGCTGATTTCAGTATCACACCTCGAGGTACAGTGCACAGGCTGAATCGAGATTTACTGACATCCGTTGGCACGGGCGGATGATCGGTGCTGCTGGTGTAGCACAAACTGTCAGATTTTGTGTTTTTCTGATAGGCCAGAAGTTACCAGTTTGTGGTGAGTCAGCTGTTACCGGGACAGTTCCCCCCAGATCTGACATTTAAACAGTGCCAGCAAGAGGAACATGGAGACTCCACAGCTCAGCCAAGGCACTCATTCATACTCAGAAATTTATTCAGAAAAATTTTACCTCCTTCTCATGTTTACAAACAGATCTGGTTTCCTTGAATACGTCCTTTATTTAACGTTACTGAGAAAATGTTTTCTGGGGCTCATTTTTAAGGTTTCCTGAGTAGTCTAGTTCAGATGTTCAGTGTTGAAAATTCAGACTGGTTTGGTGGAGTGAATTGATTGCATCATGTGGGCTCACTTGATAACAGGATGCATTTCCAGATGCAAAGATTCCCATCTACACATTCATTTGTCATAGAAGTTCTGCCAGGGGTACTTAAAAGGGGCTGAAGGAGAAATATTCCTACCAGTTGTCTTCAAAGAAAGAGATCCTGGGGGCACAGTTGGGTGCAGATACAAGTGGCTGATCACAGAGATACTTTTTGCTGTAATTGCCTAGTCCTAATTTCTAGGAAGAATCTAAGGGATAGAGAAATAAGGTATACACAGGCACATTAGCTGATAAATGAAAGATTGAAGTGGATGTGATGCACATAAAATATGTCATAGAAGGAGAGAGAGAGAGAGAAAGGATGAGGGAAAGGAAGGAAGGAGAGTAAGCTTCTTTCTAAAACAAAATATCTTGCTGCAATTAAATCAGTTAGCTATTGTTAGTGATAACATTCAAGGAAAAGTTAGTAAGGGATATCACATGGAAACATTGCCTAGAAGACAGTGGAAATTAAAATCCAGCAAAGATCAGTTCTGGACACCTCAATATGGTTTTTTCCCATTTTAATTTTGTGGTTTGTTTGTTTCTTTTTTTTATCCATTTTTGTTTTGTTTGGGTTTTTTTTTTTTTTCTATCTCAGGTTTCCTATATCAAAACTCCAAAGCAAATAGATGAATTTATTGAAATCCAGAGCTCAACAGGGACCTGGTACCAGCGATGGCTAGTCAGAATCACAACTACTTTCAAACAGGTAAAGAGAAGAAAAAACATCTCACAGGGGCTTTTGAGCTTCAGGCTCCAGTGTCTCATTGCTTCAGGTCATTGCATCTTGAAATCCTGACTCTCACACAAAAAAAAATCTGCTGGTATTTGCAAAGGGCTATAGTGCAATTGCACTTTCTATGTAGATGTGTGGATCTGCAAACTGCCACACGGCCAACCAGGCCCCGAAATACCCCTGTGAGCACCACAGCAGTCCAGCTGTGCAGAGCTTCCAGGATGAGCCACAGCCCCAAGGGCCTGACTCTCCTCCTGAGCAGATATTGATTCCCCTTCCCCCCAGCCTAAGTGAATTTACTACCCACAGTGAATTCAGAAGAGTATTTGCTCCTTGTTCCTGATGAAACTGAGTTTCTAACAATGTTATATTGTCTCTTTGGCTAATTTAACCTTTCACACATGCTATGCCACTTACCTGTGCCCATGCAGAACTTGGTAGAAAATCTTGCTAGATGCTTCTAGTCTAGGAGGATCAGCTTAAAGTAAAGGAGAGTTTTTTTCTTAATTAATAGCAATGCTGGTGCCATACTATTACTATAGTTACATGGGAAGTTAGAAGCATGAGGAGTTACACTCCCTGATGTTCCTGGCAGTATTTTTTGCAACAGGTCAAGAAGAGTAGATCTTGGTCTGCCTCCTTCTCTGTTTGGCTTCATTCCTTCCTGAGTTCATCTCACCCCTCCTAGAGTGCCAGCTGTGTTTGGGTTTTTGCTCTTCAGTGAGCTTTGAAGCTGAGTTTGAAAGCACCCCTGAGACTATACATGTATTTGAAAAGACAAATTGTCAAAGGGTCTGAGCACAGGCTTATACCCAAATTTAGTGATGTAACCTGAAAGAGACACTGTATCATCCCAGCCCAGCCTTAGTCATGCACTCCAGCTCATTACAGAGGGTTTAGATCAAGTACCCTGGCACACAGCTGAATAAGTGATCTTTTTAGAAGCCATTTATCTTGATAAATATAATTTTGAACATTGAATATAAGCCACACATCTGACCTTACCCCAATGAGCCCTTTTTACTGCCTTTAGATTTATGCTGAACTCAGAAATTAATCTGTCAAGAGTCTGCTAGGGTGTCCTTGCAGCTAATTCCTTCTTGTGGTTTTGTAGGTCTGGGACAACGTGCTCTATTGTTTAACAGCCCAGTACAGGATGAACACACTGATGCTGGCTGTGGTTTGGTTTACAATGGCCTTAAGGTAAGGTGCTTCTTTAACTTTCTCAGGAAACTAGAGAGCCCCAAGAGCTTGAATAATTATTTATACATTTAAATAAACTATTACAAAATTAATCCTGGTCTTATTTTGAAAAGTCTTTGTGTACTGAGCCTTGCTCTCCTATGATCTATTGATCAATCTGATTGCTTATATGAGAGTACAAAGTGCTTTGAACAAATCAGGACTTGAGAAGTGGTAAGTAGGGCAGTAGTATATTGACTTTCGCACCTCTAGACCTTTCATTTGATCTTGTCCACACACACACACACAAAAAAGACACAACCCTACCTGATTGTCAGCTCTTCCATAGTCTAGATCAAAACTGTTCAGGTAAGCCTAAATATAAATTACAGGTAAATTCTGTCTAACTCTCACTTAAACCTCACACTGGCAAGAAAGCTGCCTTCTAGAGGAGTCTCCAAATTTCTTACTTCTCTGCTAGCCTCTTGAGCAGCAAGGACAGCACATTGCTGTATTTCCCAGCCAAGGAGTCAAACTTCGATGAGTTGTCCTGCTTTAAGTAAATGAAAACAGATTAACATGCTTCTGAGATCAGCTGAGTGTTTAGAACAGGGAGGTACTTCGCTTGGTCCTGTGTCAGAGCTGAGCAAGCATTTGTATCAAAAATGCATTTGCATTATGAGTTTAACGAGTTTACAAGTTACAAAGTAGATCATTGGAAAAGCACTGTGATATTTGCAGTGCCAGGATTTTGTATCCTTAATGTATGTCTCCCTTCCTGATATAGTTACTATGGCCTTATTGTCTGGTTCCCTGATATGATCCGGTACCTCCAAGAAGAGGCATATGAATCCCGAGTGAAGATCTTTGATGAGGAAGAAGTGTCACACTTCACCTTTAATTTCACCCTCGAAAACCAGATCCATAGGAATGGGGAATACAGAAATGATAAGTAAGTGAACAGAATTGATCTGATGCATGCAGACTGAAATACCTTTCTAGAAAGCTTTTTCTTTTTTAAATTATTTTCCACCAACTTGAAAATCTCTGTTGTTCTTTGGAACAATCAGTCTATATCTCTCAAATCCCAAAGGCAGTTTTCCACAGACCAAATATCCTTTTTTAACCTGTTTTTCACACACTCTACATCAGCCACTCTCACCTCCAGACCCAAAAGGATGCATGTGAGAAGTCCAGCTTCCAGCAACCCCTTGCTGAGAGCAGGGCAGTGGGCACCCACCTGGCTGTGCTGGGCAGCTCTGGATGTGGAGGTGACTTCTCTTTCCTTAGCACACACTGACATCTACTGGTCTTGGCCAGGAGAGACCATCACTTGTAAAGAAACTGCTCTGCTGCTGCATTTCCAAAATAATAAGCTATTTTCTCTTGAAGTCTTCAATATGACTTACTCAAGTCTCCATCCTGCAGACCATTAGTGCAAGCTGTGTCATGGCCAGTTGTACTGGTGTGCTTCTTCCATACAGGCTGGCATCTCCCCAGGGAATGAGTGTGTCACCTTTTTTTCATACTTTGAAGTTAGTGAAGTTACTCTAGCAGAACATCACTGCTTTCCTCCCTTCTCCTATTTGAGCTGGGCCTGGTGGTTTTGGGTTTTTTTCTGCATCCATCCTGGACCCCACTCACTCTATGTTCCACAGCAATATAAATCCTAGTGATTTGTAGCAGGCCATTATTACTTTTCTAAATCCCAATAAAATGGGTGGAAAAATACCCCTATAAAAATTCTGTGGAGATCCCACTGCCCCACATAGACCGGACAGGTTGTTGCTCCAGTTGCCTTTCCCTGTGTGGGGAGGAACCACTGGATGTTCAGTGTTACACAAAACGCTCATTGTTTTAATCTTCATGGGTGAAACCATACATCATTGGCCAGCCAGGTTGTTCCTCTCCCCTCAGAAACTAATTATCTCCATTTCCTTGGTGTATAGCTGATAGACATTGATGTGGGACCCCAGGGAACCACTGGATGTTCAGTGTTACACAAAACAATCATTGCTTTAATCTTCATGGGTGAAACCACATATCATTGGCCAGCCAGGTGGTTCCTCTCCCCTCAGAAACTAATTATCTCAATTTCCTTGGTGTATACTGATAGACATTGATGTGGGACCCCCAACACGTGTCCCCATGTCCTTCTGGAGACCTTCCCTGCAGCAAGGAGCTGTGCTTGATGGTGCAAACCTAGCCACATAATTCTTACTCCCCTGCATATTAAGCAGCAAAACAAAGTCTGGTGAGAAGTGGATGGTGGTCAACTTTAGGGATCAGGGACCCTTATGCCCAGAAGAGATGCTCAGTTTTCACTGACTTCATTGAGAATTGAAAATATTCAGCATCTCGCAGGATGTACGTCACTGTTCTTCTGCCTTGGTCCTTTCCAATTCAAAAACTCACAACCTGACCAAGCTACATTCCAGTAATGCCCAGAGCACATCTCAATATTATTTATAACTGTGTTTTCCCTCCAGCCCTTGGCTGTGAGTTAAAAATCCACTGAACACCAGTCTATTACCATATTACTGTTTTAAAAATGGATATTAAGAAAGCAAACTGCAGGAAAAGGACTTTGGGAGTAAATACATCACAGGCGATTACTGAGCAAATGCAGACCAGCTTAAATTTTGCTGTAACCTACGAGACCTTCTCCATGGAGCAAAAGACTTGAATAGTCTTCTTGTGGTATTTGGCACATCAATAATATCTGTTAGTAGCTTCAGTTAAGAAGCCCCGCAGTGCTCATTTAATGGTGTAAACAGCCATCGTGCTAGACTGTGTTGTAAGTGCTCAATTCAATTAAGTTTCTGGGCATGTGTTAGAAGGCTTTTTATTTGGTGACAGTCATGGCCTCCTTAACTAGAGCAATAATGCTTGCTCTTAATAGCTCCTTACATCTTCCAAACATGTCTGTGCATTAACTAAAACATCTTCTCAGTGCCCTGCAAAATGTCACAGGTAAATCGATATTGTGTCATCCTTCAGGGAGGCAGGTCAGACATGTCAATCTTCCCATCAGGGGAGAAATAAATCACCTGACACAGCTGATTAATTTTAATGTAATCTGTTTCCATTACATGATAAGCAATAGCCTTCAAACAGAGATGGTTACGAACAGAACTCAGATAATCTCCCCACTCTCTCTAAAACCATACTGCATTTTTTCTTAAAAAATTAGTTTGATTTTAAACAACTGTCAGAAGCCTTTCACCACATGGCTCCATGGGCTCCTGATAATGTCTATTTGTATTTATGCTGGAAGAAGGTGCAGAATAAAGAAGGCAGCAAAGTCAGTTTACAAAGAAAATACCACACACTGAATGAAAGGCTGACTTCTTCAGATGGACTAGTACTGAAAGTGAGAAGATTTGTGTCCACTCGGTTTTAGAAGCACATTTTCTTAGATGTGACTATTTTGAGGAACAGAAAAACTGACAGAAATCCTAAAAGGCCCATCTCTCTTAAAAAAACCCAACACTCTTCAAACCCATCTCTCCTACTAAAATACAAAATACATAAGCATTGAGTTGGAAGGATAGTTACACATTCAAGCTACACCTTCTCTGTAAATGACCCTAGAAATGGCCATTTCTGCTCTGTCTCTTGAAACAGCCATTACATGCTATATAGCATAGAAAATACGTCAGAGCACAGAGTGAAGTTCTGTTTCCTACCCCACAGATTTATTGGCATGAGATTCAAGGAAGTGAGATTTGAGGATTCACTGTTTGAGGACTGCTACTTTGAAGATGTGACATCCAGCGAGACTTTCTTTGAAAACTGCACCATCATCTCTACTGTCTTTTATAATACTGGTAATGAGATTCTTGCTTGTTGCATGAAACAAGGCCATTTTCCAATTTTTAAGTTACCTCCAGTAATTATTTCACATTGCTATGGCCTCATCTCTGTAATTTTATCAGATTCTAGGAGAAAGCATGTCAGGGATCTGCGTTTTTGTGTGTGTGCTGGGTAATGAGACTAATGATGGAAAAAAGAGGGTGATGCATTTGGAAGGAGGCTTCAGGTTGCTTCATCACTGTTTTTAATTCTATGGCTTCTGGTGCCATTGGCTGCTGCACAGGAAATGCAAAAGTCTGTGCTCAAACCTTGGCAAGTTAAAGTAATGGCAAAATGCCCGGCATTTTAATGGCTCAATTCAAAAAAATTTGGCTTAAAATATAACTTTAACCAACCTGTGGTTGATGATCATAAGCAATAAAATATTTGTTTATCATAGAATGGTTTAGGTTGGAAGGGACCTTAAAGATCATCTAGTTCCAACCCCTCTGCCATGACCAGGGACACCTTCCACAAGATCGGGTTGCACAAAGCCTTGTCCAGTCTGGCTTTGAACACTTATCCTGAAAAAGCTTTTCATTTCTACTCTAATAGAGAACAAAACATAGCGGCATGAAAGCAAGAGCCTGCATTGCCTCATCCTTGTGGCGTGGGGATGCTGGTCCAGGTGACTCCACAAATACAAGGAGTGCATGAGCTTACACCCACCAAGAGTCAAGCATGCAGATAGAGTTTGCCACTAAAATACAAACTCCCTGGCCATTTCCATTTGATGAGGAGCTCCTCTCCTATCTTCGATTTGATTTTTATCCTGACTCCTATTGCTGCTGTATGAAGGGAAATCAGCTAAGCAGGATCAAGACTTTGCCTCTTTCTATTGCAGATCTCTATGAACACAAATTCATCAACTGCAGGCTCATAAACAGCACGTTTCTGAAGGAAAAGGAAGGCTGTCACCTGGACTTCGAGGAGGACAATGATTTCTTGATCTACCTGGTCAGCTTCCTGGGCAGCCTCTCTGTGCTGCCAGGCAACATCATCTCTGCATTACTCATGGACAAAATTGGGAGGATAAAGATGATCGGTGAGCAGGGACCGGGGGTGCATGGTGCAGGTTGTGGGTAGGAGCATGACTCTGCAAAGAGCCAAGGTCAGTGTGAAGGTCTCACTGCATTTGTGCACACCAACTCAAGCTGAGCTGACTCTGGTAGGGATGAGTCATTCCCATATTAAATGGAGCAGAAGGGGAAAAAGTCTTGAGGGTGAAGCAAGTGATCTACTCTGTGGCAGTGGGCAAGTTACATGTTCCCCGCCTCCCCATCCTGCTTTTCTGTGCATCTGTGACATCCTCCCTTTTTTATTGTGACTTTTCTGTCAAAGCCTGTATGTTTATCAAGTGCTCAGCTCAAAAGGGTCAGAGCTGAAGCAGGACCTCTTGGTGCTGTTGAGTTGATGTTGATGTCCATAGTGCTCTGTATAAATAAACAAACATTTTGCTTGTAGCAGTAAGTATTCACAAAGATTATTTGATGGAGCTGCTTGACAGCTTGGAAGTTCCCTCTTTTAATTTTCTGATTCTCAAATACTTTTACAGAGAGATTCAGAGAGCATATGGTAGAATAACTGACCATGTCACAGCCAAGCAAGTTGCCACCCTTTAGCATTATGGGAATAAGTTATCACCTCATCATCTTTATGATTACTTTGGGAATTTATGGTGCTACTTCCTCCAGGGTTCAGACCTCGCTCTCCAGGTACTGTGGGAATTATGCCTCAAGGGAGAGACAAGTCAGTGTAATAAAATCAGGGATGTGGCTCAGGGGTACGGGATGACTCACTCTCTTGAGCTCACCTGCCTCTCTCTTCTGAGAAGAGAGGGAAGTTTAGTTAGCTTGGCCTCACCATCAGACAGGTTAAGGTAAGCAAGATGACCCCACCAGTGTGTCAGAAATGTATGTTGGGAGAGAAAATAAGCATTCATGTAGTGAATTTGGAAAAAACCCAAACAAATCGCAGGGTCTGTGGGAAATAAATTAAATAAAGCTGAATGAGAATCAGATTGTCCACCCCGCAAATATGTCAGCATTTCAGCATTTTCATCTGCAATTGAGATGACAGCTGGAATCCTAAATGCTTATTTATTCCGCAGAATGAAAAGTACAGGAGAAAAATTAGTAATGACATGCTGAAATGTTTCGCTGTGGAATTTTCAATTGAAACAGCCTTCTGGCATCCCACCCATATCATTCTGTCGAACATATTATTTCTGGTCAGCTTAACATGAAAACTGAATTTTACTTTTGCGTTATGTTCCCCACTGGGATTCCAGTTCAGTTTTATCATGTTCTGCTAAACCCCTCCTGTGCCATATGCCGGATCTCTTGGTGCACCCATGGAGACCCTAATGTCATACTGTACCCCTTCAGCAGGGGGAACATCCAGACAGCACAGTGGGGGATGTAGTTTGGCCAGATACCATGGAAGAGAAGTAGATATGGAGTCCTGCACTGTAGTTTTTCACAGGCAGGGCACTGCAGTGGCAAAATGTAATATACTGTCCAAAATGAAGCATTTTAGTTCCAGTTCAGCATCCAAATTATTTTGGATGGTGTCAAATTGATTAAAAAATCCACAAACAAAATTGTTTAGTTTCCGGGTAGTAAATAAAAATATTTTGGTAACAACAGAACTTTCCAGTGAATTATACTTCAATTTTGTGAAAATTGCATTTTTCAGGTGAAAATTCCCAATGGGGTAGAAGGCAGTGATGTAGTTATTAATATTTCTGAATTTGAATTGTGCCTAACTGAGCATGAACACTCTCACTTTCTCTCTTGGTGGTGTTCATAAAATTATAGCTCCTGTGCAAATGTGCCATGAAATCTAATATGTTCTTATAATTAAAAGAGACCTCAAGTGCTTCATACAATTGACTGTAAATTATCCTAATTGAGACTATAAATGTGTCAAGTGATTTCAATATGATATGAAATGCACCAGCTTTTCATTCAAAACTCAAGTTGGAAGACCTTCACAGTGTTTCTTCCTCCTCATTGACTTTCATGTTTACTTGCCTCTGCTCTTCCTGGGTCCATCTGGAAGTCTGAGAAGCTGGAAACCTGCCTGGAAAAGCCTGTCTTGAGAATCTCCGTAGAGCAGGACCATCAGCAAGATCAGATGGTCATTAAGAACATTTTCAGGCTGGTTTTCAGCATCAGAGAATGACAGATAGGCAGCATCAAGGTATTTTTGGATTCTTGAAGATTTAATTCATTTCAGGGTGAAACACCGTCACTTGAAAGCCATCTTTATCAACAAATGTGTTTGCCTAAATGTGTTTGTGGACAGGGGAAACTGGTGCCAACATTTTTCTCTTTATTTCCCCCCGTAGGTGGCTCAATGTTGATCTCAGCAGTGTGCTGCTTCTTTCTCTTTTTCGGTAACAGCGAGTCAGCAATGATCGGCTGGCAATGCCTCTTCTGTGGTGCCAGCATTGCTGCCTGGAATGCCCTGGATGTAATCACTGTGGAGCTCTACCCCACTGACAAAAGGTGCTCAGAATATTTCTCTCTTTAGTCTCCATCCTCTGACTTTGTCCTTTTGGTTCCTGATAGAAAAAGTCATTCTAGATACATGTAGGTGAGGGAGGTGTAATTTTTTTTAATTTTCACCAGTCCTTAAGAGTTGGGTAGTCCTGCAGCTATACTAGATCATCACAGACATTTGCAAGCATAATGCTGCATGCATGGTGGCTTGTATGCAGGGAGTCGTGTGGGTGTATAGAAATTATGGGCAGATAAAATAAGGAGTCTGTAATTTCCCTGGATATGTGTGGAGGTCTGGCCTTTCAGACTGTATCCTCCAGCCTCTTGTCGTAGCTCATCACTGTGACAGCCTTCCCTTCCACAACCTGGAGACAACCATGGGCACAGAATGGTTTGGAAGATGGAGCAGCACAGGAAACTTTGGGAGAATGTGTTGCAGATTAAATCTTTCCTTGCAACATCATTATAAGCCTTTGTTGCCTTTTTCAGGCTGTTGAGGGGAGCCAGAAGGGAAGGAGAAGGACTGTGCTTTGAAGTAGCATGCTTTTAGCTGCTGGGTGAAGCAGGATTTGGAGGAGAGCCCAGGTTGTTTCTCTGGTGACAACCAACTACAGTCAGTGTTTGAAAGGTCTTTGACAAGTTCTAGAGCAGGCTGTGTCCTACTGTCTTTGAGGAGAGCAAAGACTGTCATAGTGGGCCACTCTAGGGCTAGGGAGAAGCTGAGATGAAAAGTAGAAATGAGTACAACAGACATTCTCCTTGTTCACACGGACATGCAAAACACCGACATCTATTTATTTATTCTGCCTGGCTTTACTTGCTAGAAGCATAGCCTGGGCAACGTAAAAGCATTCACAAAATTACCCACCCATATCTTCTATAGTCATGCCAAGAACCTCCCTCCTAACTACTGCTTTCTGCTTTTCTTCCCCACAGGGCAACAGCCTTTGGCATCCTCAATGGGCTTTGCAAGTTTGGTGCCATCCTGGGGAACTCAATCTTTGCCTCCTTCGTAGGGATAACCAAGGTGGTTCCCATCCTTCTGGCTTCCTCTGCTCTGGTTGGAGGTGGCTTGCTGGCTTTGCGTCTGCCAGAGACTCGAGAACAAGTCCTGATGTGAGCAACTGAGGCCAGGGGGGTCGGGGGGCAGACGTAGAAGAAGAACAAAGAAGAGCCATGCTTGGAAAAATCAAAATGTCCATTTCTATACCGTTCTGTCGATACCTCAAAGAGAGGGGAAAGGAAAAGAAGAGCCCAAAGGGATAGAAATTAAACCCCTAGTTTCTGACCCTTTTACAGCCGTGACTGGTGCATGCAGCTGCTACACACACCTTGCAGAGCTTGGGTATAACCTTGCCTACACTGGGAGTCTACCCTTTCCCCCTCCATCCCAGCGTAACGACACAGGACGCGAACAGCGGCTTCGTGCATGTGTGTGCCTGCGTGGGTGTGAGCGTGTCCAACGGGAGAACAGATCCTGACCCCCACACGCCTTGGCTGAGCTGTGAGATACTGCCTGCCTTGCCCAGCACTCCTTGGTCATTCATATCAGCTGTGCTCAGACACCAGGGGCATCCAAAGGGGAGGCAGGTGACAAACCTACTGTAGGTGAGCTCCAGCAATAGGGACAAGAGCTACAGAAGTGACTAGTGACCCTAGCTGTCTTGATTTTGGGGTTACCACTTGAACTGCCTGAAAGAGAGTCCTGATTACTGGAGGATATGAGAGTGAATGCTCAGTGCTCTCAGAAG